CGCAGATTTAATGTTTCGATGCAGATATGTTCACGGAGATGTGAAACCGGAAAATTTTCTCCTTGGTAGACCGGGTTCTCCAGATGAAAAGAAACTCTACCTCGTGGATCTTGGCCTAGGTAAAATTTGTCACGTGAGATAGTTGTTTCTTATGTCTAATATGGTCATGATTCAGCTACAAAATGGCTTGACGGTACTACGGGGTCTCACGTAGACTATGATCAGAGGCCTGATGTTTTCAGGTATCACTCTTGTGTATCTGTGGATCGGGCTAAGTTTTAGTTGTGTTTCAGGGGAACTGTTCGGTACGCAAGTGTCCATGCGCACCTGGGTAGAACCGGTAGTAGAAGGGACGATCTGGAATCTCTTGCCTACACGCTGATATTCTTACTACGGGGTCGTCTTCCTTGGCAAGGTTACCAGGTTAGAGGCTTTGGTTTTAAAATTATTGCCTGCAGCTAAGGCTGCTTGTTGTGCAGGGTGATAACAAAGGCTTCTTGGTCTGCAAGAAGAAGATGGCAACATCACCGGAGTCATTATGCTGTTTCTGTCCGGCTCCCTTCAAGGAATTTCTTGAAGCCGTTGTCAGTATGAAGTTCAACGAGGAGCCGAACTATGCAAAGCTGATTTTGCTTTTTGACAGCATATTGGGCCTGCCTGCCCAACGGCCGATCAACACCGAATGTGCAACGAAGGTAAGATAAGCAGACAACGAGACAGCTGATGAGTTTGACATTATCTTTTACATTGTAGGTCGGTCATAAACGCGGAAGGCTGGCGGACTTTTCTGACGACGACGATCGTGCCAAGAAGAAAGTTCGTCTGGGCATGCCAGCAATGCAGTGGATATCAGTCTACAATGCGCACAAGCCGATGAAGCAAAGATACCACTATAACGTAGCCGACACACGCCTGGCACAGCATGTTGAAAAAGGCAACCAAGACGGGTTGTTCATCAGCAGCGTTGCCTCTTCGACGAACCTCTGGGCGCTGATAATGGACGCCGGAACTGGATTCGGTTCGCAAGTCTACGAGCTATCGCAAGTGTTTTTCCACAAGGTACTACTTTTGACGAAACAATTTTTCGAGGCTTCTCACATTTCTCTGCTGCCTGTCAAAGGAATGGATCATGGAGCAGTGGGAGAAGAACTACTACATCAGCGCAATCGCCGGTGCCAACAACGGTAGCTCGCTGGTGGTGATGTCCAAGGGAACGTCCTACACGCAGCAATCTTACAAGGTCAGCGACGCGTTTCCCTTCAAGTGGATCAACAAGAAGTGGAAGGAGGGATTCTACGTGACGTCCATGGCAACGGCAGGCAACCGCTGGGGCGTGGTGATGTCGAGAAACGCGGGGTTCACAGAGCAAGTGGTGGAGCTCGACTTTCTCTACCCGAGCGAAGGCATCCACTGGAGATGGGACCACGGGTTTCGTATAACATCCGCGGCCGCGACATGGGACCAGGCCGCATTCGTGTTGAGCGTTCCAAGGAAGAAACCATCGGATGAGACGCAAGAAACGCTGCGAACGTCGGCTTTCCCGAGCAGCCACGTAAAGGTTGGTGTGGTGTGGTGTGATTTTTTTTTTTTTTTGCTCAAAGCTTTGGTTTTGATCGTTTTGCGTGGTGATATTGTTTGCGCAGGATAAGTGGGCTAAGAATCTCTATATAGCAGCTGTTTGTTACGGACGAACAGTGTCATGAGCCATGTAATATCAAGGAGACAAAAACAAATAATTTGGGTTTATGGCTGGTTCATGAGGCCCTTGGAGAAGGACTGAAATGTTCTTTCTCTTAAGTCTTTTAACTTTGGAAGAAATCACTGGACGCGAGTTTTGCGAGGTTTTATCACCGTGCCGATGGCTGTCAAAGCGATTGGAAGAAGCGTTCCAGCGAAATAGACGCTTTTGTACGCAGTGAATGTGTCCCTCGCGTCTAAAACCTGTTTAAAAACGAAGAAAAGGACTTTGCTAAGAAATCGAAGGCTTGATGAACAAACGTACCAGGAATCCAATGCAGGCATAGTTGAGAACCAGCAACGTGTAAGCGAAGTTTAGAAACCACGCTAGAGGCCGGAGGAAAGAGAGGTGGTCGGGTATGGCCTTTTGCCATCTATATAGCGCTGCAGAGAAAGGTTTTTAAGATTCTCATGACGAGAACACGAGAAAGAATGGATTACCTCTCGAGCCAGAGATGAGAACAGCGGTATGGACGAAGAACATGATATACCCGGCATAGAGACCCTGGAGGAAAGCAAAAAGGATGAAACAAAGAATCGATGGATGAAATCACTCTACTTACATGCCACACAGCGCTGACAACTTGAGTTGCTAGCAGCTGCTGAAAGCCAGCCTTCTTCCCCGGTGGTACCAGCCTCTCGTAAACATCTAGCAGAGCTCACAGATTAGAACAAGCGCGAGCCAAGCGAGGGGAAAGGAAACCAAGTGTACAATGTCTTAACCAGGTGCTGATGTGAATGTTCCACTTGGACGGGACCTCGGCGGCGCTGCCTGCGAGCTCCACTCCCGGGATATCTACGTTGAGAGCTTGATCCCACCGCGGCCTGGGGGGCTGGGAGCTGGACCAGCCGCTAAACCCCAGGCCGGAGATGATGAGCGAGGCCTCCGAGATGGACCATATGAAGTAGTACTTCCATCTCGCGGAGAAGCCACACAGCCACATGTAGAACCAGCGCGCCCAGAATTTCCACTGCATGAACTCCGGCTCGAGGATTCGCGTGAAGCGGACGCGAGGGATGAGCAGCATGTACATGCCCATGCAAAAGAGGGCCTTGAGTAGAACTCGGAGAGTGTCGCGGTATGGCGATGGAGCGTTTCCTTCGGAAAACTTCCATAGCTGGAAAGAAGAAATGGTTAGAGGGAGAACTTAAGAGGAAGGAAAGCTCTCACTCACCCCTTGTTCTTCGCTCCAGTCGATGTAGTCTTTCATCTCGTAGACCGGCCCAGCCAAGTGTGTTCCACAGCAAAAGCAGTAGCCGAGATACTCGAGCACTGAGGGACGTCGCACGAGCCGGTTGCGCTTTTGCGTTCTTCGCAGCTTCTCCTCCTCGAGAAGCCCATCCTGGTAGCACATTGCGCAGGAGACGAGCTTGAGCGTGAGGACCATCAAAGCTCCTGGAGAATTCACAGCACAAAGAGAGGAGAAAAAAAATTCGATCGAGTGATATGCCAGTGATAGCAAAACTTGGCTTACCAGTCGAATCGATGCCTCCCTCCTTCCACGCATCGCCACTCATGTAGTAGACGTGGCTGCGCCAGGAAAGATGAGCTACACGAAATACGAGGGAATTTCTTACCAGGAAATAAGGAATGCGAAATCCAGGACGAAGCTCACGATCCCACAGCTCGGGCGATGGATTACCATGCTAGCGTACGTGACGACAAGGGGGAAAACGAAGAGCGCATTGGCGCCGGGGCCGAATGCCAGATGCGAGACGAGCATCCCTGTGATCGCCGAGTAGAGATGCCGCGCCGTAGGGTTGGGCATGAGGCGCCATAGCCAGCCGATTGGAATCGTGGAGAAGAAGAAGACGAGAAATCTGAGCACCGGCACCGAGATTCCGAGCGCCACAGCGACATCGCTCATGCCCGCCATAGCCAGCCCCGCCGCGCGGCTATTCCATTTGAGCTAAACCCTACTCCAGGAATCAAAGCGTCCACCTAGGCGCTGACGTGTTCACATAATCAGCTAAATGCTGGCGCGTCAAAAGAAGATTGGCCAACGTGGCACTGACGTGTCCAGAGCTTATTTTCTCTTTGCAAAGGTTTCATTTTATCTTCGTCTTTATCTCGCTTCTCTCGGCTCGCGATCTCTGGAAACTATCGAGCGATGGGTTCCAGAGATTCTTCTTGATGGATCGATCATCCCTTTTGCTTCACTTCGCTATTTCTTTGCTTCCCAGCGGCGCGTAGTCCCAGTTGAGAGACCGGATCTCTGCATCGATCTTTTCTTTGATGTCTGGGTGCTCGGCCAGTACCTCGTCGACTGTGATCGTCGGTAGCCTCTCCTGGAAAAGAGAAGAATGGATTGGAATCCTCGAAACGAAGAAGAAAAGAATGAAAACAAAGTACCTTGAACTTTCTGATCTTCTCCTCTTCTTCCTCCAGCTTTGCTCTCGCGGCAGCAAACTCTTCGTCAGCTTTGATAGCCTTCTGTTCCTGCGAGCGATCGAGCCATGAACTTCTTAGAGAACTTGAGAAGTTGAGAACTTACAAGCTCGGCAAACATCTTGACGGCCTCCTCTCGATCTTCGTCCACATACTTTGGAACTTCTATGCCTGAAGAAGAAAGATCAAAAACAAGTGAGTAGCTTGAATGCCAAAGGAAAAGAAAAAAATCTACTTTTTTGTCTCTCAAACGAGAAAGAAATAAAGAAATAAAAATTTTCCTTACTCTCGTAAGTCTTCTGGTAAAGATCCACAACTTCAGCTGGCAAGACCTTCCTGTGAGCATCCCAATCGATTACATGCTTCTCCTGCCAAGAGAGAGAGAGAGCGCAAGAAAAGAAAGAAAATCTGTCAAAAGCTCTGGCAAAATCCAAATCCTCTCTTGCAATCCCTCAATCTACAATGTACAAGGAGCACACCTTGATAAACAATGCGTCCATGCGATGCGCCGTCTCCGTGATGTGATGCTTGAGCTTCAGAAGCTCAGTCTTCACATCTGGCGAGAAGCTCCAGTAATCGATCCAGTGGTCCATCTCCTTCCAGTCCAGGCCGCCCGCCGCCGATCTCCCCGCCAGCGCCCGCAGCGCCCGTGATGCCCTGAAGGCGCCCACAAGCGCCATAGCCAGCAAGAAACCCAAAGAGAGAATTTTGTTTTTAGGGTTCTTGAGCTAGGTCATTGGCGGCAATGGCGTCGGTAAGTGATCCAGCCGCGATGATTCTACTCTCGATCGATCACGCCTTTTGCTTGCAGGCTAGCGGTGTCGACAATACGGCTCGGCGCAAATGGGATCGCCAGGAATTTCTTGAGCGCGCTCGCAAGCGCGTAAGTTTCATAGAGAGCTCCTCTTTCTCTTAATACTGGGTGTTTTAAGGATGGTTTTCGCAGGAGGTGGATCAGCAGGCTCGCCGAAACAGCTGTGAGTAAATTTTTTGGTCGACCGATCGTTCTAAACTTTCTTTCTCCAGCGAGAGATGATTCACCTCCTGGTGAGAAGAAGCCTTTGAAGCACAGGGATTTTGAAGTGGACCTTACTGCTCGTCTGGGAAAAACTCAAGTAAGCCAAAGCATTTTTTCTCACCCTGTCACCTTTCCACTCTTTTTCGTTTTTTCCCAGGTGATTACACAAGTCGCTCCCTTGGATCAACAGGTAGATGTTTGCAAATTCTTAGTGATTTTCATGGGACTCACTGGGTGGCAGGCAGGCTACTTTTGCAGTGTTTGCAACTGCATTGTCAAGGACTCCGCAAACTACTTGGATCACATAAACGGGAAGAAACGTAAGCTAGTCTTCAAAGTCTCGGTTTTGCGTGACGATAGCTTACGTTGTTCTCTGAAGATCAAAAGGCTCTGGGAATGTCTATGCGTGTTGAGCGGTCCACTTTAGAACAGGTGAGTAGAGGATTCATTCAGAGATCTTTTCGTGCAAACCCCCAACGCTATCACCAGGTCCAAACTCGCTTCGAAACTGTCAAGAGGAAAAAAGCCGAGGGAGGACTGACGGACGAAGGCACGTATGAAATGTCTATCCGTTGTTAACATTCAAGGCTTTTTTCTTTGTGCCAGAGTTCGAGATGCGAATGCTAAAACAGCAACGGGAAGAAGAGGAGCGCAAGAGGCAACGAAAAGAAAGGAAAAAAGAGAAGAAGGTTTGAGTCCAAGTGCTTTGTTTTTCTGCTCCACTTAGCTTTGCTAGCAGAGGGAGAAAGCTTTGGAGGACGCAGGAGGAGAGATAGACGATCCTGAGGTTGCTCAAGCAATGGGCTTCGGTGGCTTTGGCATGAAGAAGTAAATGGAAACACCGACGTTGAATGGCAATCCTGACAGTAGTTGTATGCTTGCTGTTTCTCTTTTTTGATTTCTTGAACTTCACAGACATAGTTGGCAGATCAACTATAACACTTGAACAACATATTGATTGAGATAATCATGCAAAAAGGACTACTAAGCAGACTAGCAAGCTCGCTACCTCGTTGCCCAGACGCACTTGGATAAAGAAGAAGGGACTTTCTAAGAAGTCCTTTTGTTTTTACAAAAGACAAATTAGCAATAGAATTATTGCTCACTTTCCATTTGGTTAAATTAACATGAATGGAATATGTAAACATACTTCAATTTTTAGCAAAACTTTATAGCTAACCAAATTTTGACTTCGCCATGAGCTTCAATGCCTAAAGAATATTGATTTTACTCTTATATTTCTTTAAAGAAGCAATAATAATATGTATACATTATAAGGTTGAAAAGTTTAGACTTTACAAAGATTTAACTAGTGTTTGCAGTGGTTTAAATGGTTTAAATAACTTTTAAAGATTGAATATAGAAGTGTGGATATTAATTAGCCCACACCCCCACCCCCCCCCCCCCCCCCCCTCAAAAAGGAACGCACTATGCATTTGCATGGCAAGATTCTCTCTTAACTTTTGAAGTACTTCTTTTTGCTTGGGTCTTTCATTAGTTTTTTCCTTGTGTTTTCAAACTCCACAGTTCTTTTTCCATTTTCCTTTTTCATTTCTCTCTATAATCATATTTTTCATCATCTATCCTTTGTCTTTTATTTACTTACAAGATTTCACCATTTATTTCTACCTTGCAAACCATAGGTTCTTGCCACGTCAGAGCTTGGGCATCCTCCCATGGTCATTTGTTGGAGCATGGGTATGATTTTAGGGATATTCCTAGATATATTTTAAGATTAATCCATGTGTTTATATTGGATGATATAACATATTTTCCAATGAGAGGTAGTGTTTTTAATGTGGCGGTTGCATATAGATTCATTTTGCTATTTTTGCTTTCCTTTGTTTTGCTTCCAATCAGTTGATCAAGTCTTTTTCTTCTGTTGTTTGTTTGAACTTTTTTGTTTATTTATTTATTTATTTTATTCTTGGTCCAGTGAGTGCAAGAGCCTTGTGTTTGCATTGCAAGAACATTATGAGCATGGTAAATTAGCTCACAGGTACAAATTTATCTAATGTCTCTTTATTTTCTTTGCGCTTGATCTCACAACATTTATACATGTGTTTTAGAGATGGAGTTTGCAAGGGGCAATTGCCAAGCTGGTGGTCATAAGCGCAAGCGCTTTGCAAGGCTTTTCAGTGACAACATGAGGATTATGTAGATGCACCTTCATGAGACCTTGATGTTGGTACGTTTTGTGATTTCATATATCCATCCATAATCCAAGTTTTTTTTTCCTTTTGTTTAGACCGTGGGCATTGCAAGGTTTGGATGGCAAAAGCACAGAGTGAATATGCCATGTGGGGATAGTGGTACATTATAGTTTGTTTGCTCTTGGTTCTTTGCAAGATAGCCAATGAGGCTACTATGGGGAGGACAAGAGAATTTCTTGGAGGACACAAGGAGTGGCAAGACTATTACATTAATTGAGCCTCCAAATAAATGACCAACACTCCACATTCTTGGTACATGCATGTGTGGGCCTTTCCCACTGCTATTGGGGAGCAGCATCCACCAGCTACAGTGGCTGAGCCTTTGCAGCTGCTCATGGTGGTGCCATCCCAGGATGTGGAGGCAATTGCAAATGAGACAGCTGTTGTGGAACATCAGAAGCAGTTGATCCAGTTGATAGTGCAGCTCAGGTCAAGGATACTTCAGCACCATGTGAGCTTGTCAAGACCCTAGCACCGGGCAACCTTGTTGAGAGCTAGGACACGCCAATGGTGGTGGAACTAGCATGCATGGAATGGGTAGATTGTCCTCCTAACAAAAAATCAAGTTTCATAGTTTTAAATGATCATATCTCAAATGATAATGGACAGTTGAGACCTGGGGCTGGTTTTTATTCTACATAGCCTCCAGCTTTGCTGAAGATGCCCAAGAAGAGTGTGTTCCATGCCCGCACACACATGGATATAAATATAGACTGTCCGAACATTTTCCCTTCAATGGCATTTGAATCGGAACCATATGACGTGGTTCCAAAAGTTTAGGGTGTTAAGCTATAGATTATAAAAAACCATATGTGGAGCGAAATGTCATTGCATGTTCCAAAGATGCAATCTTGCGTGGAATCCAAAAACATGAGCAATTATTTCGTCCACCTCATATACCTTTTCATCCATAGTTCCAAACCGATCATATTCAACCAAATAATATTGAACTAAGAATAAAAAATGTTACAAACGATTGTGGTTATCATTGGGCATTTGGAAATAATTATCTTTATCCAAGTCCATGTTTAACATCTCCAAGATCAAAAGACTAGAAAAAATCTTAAATGAACATCAAAACATTATTTTAACCATTATTAGTTTTGTATTCTAATGAATAAATATTTTATAAACAAACCTAATTATAACGGGTTGCATAATTCTGCCTCTTGCTCACTTGAACTCGAGCAAGTTTTTGGTTTGGGAATGCATGGACTGTGAACAACTCCATGCTGCCTTCCTTTCCCAAGAGAAGCACAACCAACCTCTTTGGGAAATCTAGAATGGGATTTTGTAGAGACTGGCACTCAAGAACAAGAGGTCTAGCCTCTTCAACCTTGGTTTTTGAGGGCGTTCAACCAGGCATCCACTTGTGAGGAGCTCAGAGAGCCCTCAGCTTGATTATTTGAAATTGCGATAACGCTGACACACTCCCGTGGGATCGACATTGACTGCAAGCTCTGTAATTTGATCAACACAAGAATATAACCTCCTCTACGTACTTCAGATAGAGATGAGAGATCGCTACGCCAGCAAATGAGGTAAGACGTTTGCGACGCTCGTAGAAAAAGTCACGTTGTAAATTGATCGCAAACATTAGAACACGCCACAAGCGCGTCCAGCCTGCAAACAAACAGTAGAAGTTAGAGAGAGAAAAGGGAATACAAAAGTACGAAGCATATGCGGCATTTGCCGGCCCCATCTACATGAGTCAACTTCCAAAGAAAACCAAGAGTTTCTTGTTTTGCAAAAAACTATCGAGAGGAGGCGAGGGGACGCTTAGTTTTCGGTGCTGCGGCAGCGAGATATGGAGCAAGGTACTTTAGCTGCTGCTTTGCTGATTTCCTGTGTTGGTTTCTTCGTCTGGTTCTATCTGAAAAATCGACATGAGAATGGTGAGACTGTTCCCAGAATGTACCCACTTCTGGGAACAATGCCTGAGTTGCTTAAAAACAAGGACAGGATTCTCGAATGGACTACTGAGTACCTTGCCAAGTCTCCCGGACACACCATCACGTTGAAGCGATGGGGGGCGAAGCCTTTCAAGCTCACGTCCAACGCTCAGAACGTAGAGTACATCCTCAAGACCAATTTCGACAACTATCCAAAGGGAGAGTATGTGTGCGACACGCTGAGAGATCTTCTTGGAGATGGCATCTTCAACGCTGACGCTGGCCTGTGGAAGCTGCAGAGAAAACTTGCGAGTTACGAGTTTACTACCAGGTCTCTACACGACTACCTCATGGATTCTGTGGCCGAGAAGATTGAAAAGAGGCTGCTTCCAACGATTGCAAGCATTTGTGGCCGACGAGTCGACTTGCAAGACGTGTTCATGCGGTTCGCCTTTGACAGCATTTGCAAGCTCGCATTCGGAGTCGATCCTATGTCCTTGGATCCGTCGTTTCCCACGATTGCGTTTGCTCGAGCATTCGACGAGTCCACGAGGCTGAGTACTGAAAGGTTTTACCAGGTCCATCCCTTGCTCTGGAAGATCAAGAGGTACTTCAACCTTGGTTCCGAGAAGCACCTGAAAGAATATCTGGCAATCGTCAATGAGTTTGCTGCTATGGTGATAAAAAACAGGAGAAAAAAAACAGGAGCTCGAGAGAACCAGGACTTACTTTCTCGGTTCATGGCTCTCGAAATGGAGGACACGGCAAGTTCGTACTCCGACAAATTCCTACGAGATATTATCATCAGCTTTGTTCTGGCAGGCAAGGACACAACTTCTGTGACATTGTCGTGGTTCTTCTGGCTCCTGTCAAAGCATCCCAAAGTAGAGAACAAAATCATTCAGGAGATAGTCGACGTTGCTGAAAGAAATCACGAACCTGGTCGAAGGATGAAACACTTCGCCTACAGCGAGCTCCGAGAGATGAACTATCTCCAGGCAGCGTTATCGGAATCCTTAAGGCTCTATCCAGCAGTTCCGTTCGACAGCAAAGGTGCCAAAGGCCCCGACGTACTACCAGATGGGAGCAGGATAGAGAAAGGAACGAGGGTCACGTACCAGATCTATGCAATGGGACGAATGGAGAGCCTATGGGGGAAGGATTGTCTAGAGTTCAAGCCGGAAAGGTGGCTAAGCAGCACTGGAAGTTTTGTGAACGAGAGTCCATATAAGTTCACAGCGTTTCAGGCAGGGCCAAGAATATGTATCGGAAAGGAAATGGCTATGCTGCAAATGAAGTCTCTGGTAGCTGCTCTGTTGCCAAAGTTCAAGTTCGAGATGGCATCCGACACAGAGCCCCGGTACAGTATCAACATGACACTCGCCATCAAGAATGGATTGCCAGTGATTCCGAGAGCTCGAGAGTAAGGTAAAAAAAGAAAAAAGAAAAAAAAAGCAATGTCAGGATGGAAATGTAACAGTTGCTTACATTTGTTGACGAATAAAGGTGTTTTACAGTGTGGTTAGAGCTGCAATGCTGCAGAAGATACCAACGACAATAACAAAAGCAGGAAGCACCACCTCTTTGGCGTACTCCTGCACGATTGAATACCAGGTATCCTTTCTATACTTCAAAACACTTCCTATTCCATCAGCCTGCTTCTGACATTTTGCTCTGCAAAGAGAACTTAACACTGTACTCTGTAAACAAAAACATACCTTTGGAAGAACAGCAAGAAATGGTTTACTACGGGAATGGTATACGAAACCATGGAAACTCCAGTCGCCCCTGTAATTGTGATGATGGCGCCCGAATTGTTAGGCGATATGAGGCTGATGCCTGTGCAGAAAACAAGGATTCCAGCTGATATACACAAATGACGTAAGAAGCGATTCTGCTTCTTATCGCCAGGAATCCAACGGTTGATTGTGTAGCGAGTCGGAAACTCTACAGTTGGAATTGCAAAAGCAAGGTATACTGTCAAAGAGCGGCATCCAATAAGTAAATTATCGAAGCTTCCAAGGCTCATACCCGCCATTGCTAAGTTGAGTGATCCTTGTGGTACACCACCGCCAAGCCATTTGTTTTCCAGTATGTTTTCGGACGTAAGGCTCCCGTATCTTGCCGCGCCGAAGAATCCAATAGTGCCGTAAATGAAGAATGAAGTTCCTGCACGTAGCTCGCTTGAAGTGAAACATAAACACAAGGAGCATCTTTATGCTCACCGAGAACTCACCGAGAATAACTACACGAACCGAGTATGAGGTCAGCTTCACACCAACTTTACCAGCGGGCATTTCAGCAAGGAAGGGCATCATCATTGGCTGTACGTAAAATGCAAAACCAAATGTTGAAATAGCTTGAGTGATTGAGCCTGCATCCACCGATATGTCTCAGTTAAACAAAAAAAAAAAAAAAAAGCAATCAAAACTTGCCTATACTTGTAAACCCGACTGCAGCAAGCTCTCCGTTTTTCACCGCAGGCAGCTTGAACCTGATAGCATCTATGACAATTACCACGAGCAGCCAGATGACAATCGATGTTCCTACAGTTGCAAAGAATTCGAGCTGCATTGGAGAAGTTAAATCAGAAGGAAGAACAAAGTCAAAGTTACACCTGTCTCATTTTTTCCACCAAGCAAATTGGAGCGACAATGAAGACGACGGACAGGATCATAAGCACGCGCCCGCTACCTGTTAGCCAGGAAGGAGCATTGGAAGTGATGTTTTCAATGCCGATGACAGCAGCTTCACTGACTTGTTGAATGTTGCCTATAATGGTCCCAATGAGCAGAACCACTATGCTAATTTCGGTAGCAAGCTGTGCAAAGAGAAGAGAGAGAGAGAGAGAGAGGGCTTTTAGAAACTTAGAAAAACCAAAAAAAAAGAAAAAAAAGATAGAACCTTCCACCACTTCCCACCAATGTGGAAAGCAAGAGACTCATAGTTGAGAGCTCCAGTACAATAAGCTTGTCTGAGCAGCAGATCACAAGTGTAAGTATTTGCCAAGGCCACAACAAGCATTATCAGGAAGCCGCAGACAATTCCCGTGGTAGTGAATGCATTTGACACGGGCAGGACCGCTCTGCAAGCCGAAGAAAAAAAAAATTCAAAGTCAGGAGGAAGGAAAAAAAAACCAAGCTAGAGATGAAACTTTACCCTCCCATGATGCTGAGTGTGAGTGTGACGATGCCGCTGAAGAGAGCATGTCGATACTCCCTCCTCCGCAGAAGGTAGAGAAACGGTGGCGAAGACGAATTGGGAATTTCCCCCTCGACATGACGCTGAGGCAGCTCTCGGGATCCGTCCTCTCGAGCTGCTTCACCAAGAGAAGGATCCATTATCAGAGATTCATCCAGAATCAACAACCATATAAAAGATTGGAGTTTTTTAAGCGAAGAAAAGAAGACTCAAGCACGAGTTTTACTCTAGTCGCGTCTAGCAAGCGTAGCTTTCGCGGAAAATCTTGCTCAAACAGTGCCAAGCTCACACTCTGCCAAGGCTTGAGGACGCGTTGGCTACATGACACAAAAGTCTACATCGAGAAAAAAGAAATCCAAGTCCCCATTGAAAGGTGTGAAGCGGCCACTAAGAGAGATTCCATACCTTCCATGCTGGCCACGACGCCTGCATTGCTGTTCCATGGCGCACCGATCGATGCCCTCCTCGCCAAGAGCCCTAGAAAGAGTTTTGGCGGGAAAGTGTTAGGGCTTATGGTACACTGTATTCAAAGTTGAGCGGGAAAATATTCTAGGGCTGCGTGGACGCGACGATCGCTTGCTCTCACGATGCTCATCTCGGAGGTACTTAGTGATCCAGGGATCGGCAATGTGGCTACAGTGAATCCGCTGCGGAGAATCGAGCGCCTGGTTTGCGACATCGAGCAGGCGTCTCCGGGAATCGGTGTCGACACTGTCGAAGAGCTCCAAGAATGCGTGCTCGGCCTCAAATCCGAGCTCTCCGAGGAGCAGCGGCTGCAAATCTGGAAGCTGAGCTACCGGATTTGGAACACTTGCGTGGATATCGCCAACAGCATCCAGCAGCAGCAGCCGCCAGGCCGCGCAGCGGTGGATTCCTCGGCGGAATATCACGCGCGGCTTCGTCAGATCGCTAGCGAGATGCTTTTCTTGGCCGGTGCCGTTGGATCCATCCGCTCGAGCACTCTCAAGATGGCCACATTCTTCCTTAGATCGGGCACGACCTGGCACAAGATCCGGAACTACAAATCGGCGGCCGGCTGCTTCGAGCGAGCCACCGAGATCGTCTCCAGAGACAACGTCTTCTCATCGATCGGCACCAGCGAAGAGCAGCAGTTCATGTTTGATCTGTGCCTTGCGCGGTCGAGAACAGCGTGGGAGATGTCTCACAAGGCGCTGGCTTCCAGTTTGCTAGGGAGGGCCCGTGGTTTTCTCCAAGACTCCCTGGAGAGGTATCAAGAGCTGGCGGACGTGTATCTTCTCTACGGGAAATCACTCCTGGCGCTCCAGGACTCGGAATCAAAGGCGGAGTCCGTCAAGTACGTGGAGCAAGCGTATGAGATTTGCTCCGAGGCGCTCAAGGGATCATGCAAGACCAAGAGCGAGGAGCAAACTGTCACAAGCCAGAAGCTCACAATTCTCAGGTACATTGCCGCTGGGCAGCTCCAGAACGGGAACTTCGAGGGAGTTCTCAAGTGCGTTTCGGTTCTCAAAGGCTCCTCGGATCATCCTAGCACGTCGTTCCTGGCGTTCAAGGCTTTGCTTGGTCTCAGCCGCTTCGAAGAGGCCGAGGAGGAGCTTATAGCGCTCATATCTCATGACAAGGCTGCGGTGGAGGTGTGCCTCTCCGCTTTGACGTTCTTGATCGAAGAGACGACGCAGCAGCTGGACGTTGCAAAGAAAGCGTTCTTCGTTTTGCTTTCGAGGTTTTCATCCACAGCCGAAGTCTGCGCGAGCATAATTGAGAAGTTGCTGAAGCAAGCGTCACCGACTGATCCTATGAGCCGGAAGAGAGTGGAGGTGGCCTTGTCAATCGCGACGGACGACAGAGTCTTGAAGAGATTCAATGCTTGTGCTGGGCCGAGACTGCACAACCCGTTGCTGCATTGCCGGAAGGAGCTGGAGTCCATGCATGCGCTTCTCTGGAACTGGCAAGTGTTTTTTCACCGTTATATTGGAGCTGACTTGTGGTGTGTTTTGTAATAGTGGCTCGGATTTCTTCCAGGCGAAGGACTATCCTACAGCCATCAGATTGTTCGAGGCTGCCATGCATTATCTGCCAGCGGAAGAAGAAACTACCATGAGAGCGAAGGCATTGCGTGTTTTATGTCTCTGCTATCTTGGCCTCTTGCAGTATGACAGAGCTGCTGAATACGTTGACGCAGCTGAAAAGGTGATTTTTGGTTTTTTGTTGGTCTTATGACTGAGGATCTTTCTTTGTTCTTTGTAGCTTGAACCGAACGTGTCGTGCAGTTTTCTGAAGGTAAGTCGCTTGTTTGAGCTAGCAAGCTAACTACATCGATCTGTAAACTTGCAGTTCAAGATATGTCTACAAATAAATGACGAAGTCGGAGCAGCGAATCAAGTGAGCAAGATGATAAAATGCGCAGATTTCGAACCAGAATATCTGACACTGGCATCACATGAAGCTGTGGCATGCAAGAACATTAAGGTTGCGGTCTCTGCTTTGTCGAACATGTTGGTCATGATCTCGTCCAATTCTCGACCTCCAGCAGGCACTAAAGAGGTGACCGTCTTCAGGAACTTGATTTTTCTCGCTTTGCAAGATCTGAAGTGTCAGGACGAGGCAGTGAAATACTTGAAGCAGGCACGGCAGCGTCTGCAGGAAACAGGAGCTGAAACTTTCCTTGGATCCGGAAGCAGCGCAGAGAAAGAAGCGAGCTGGTTTGCTGGGTGCGCATGGAACCAGGGATTGGCTGCGGCAAAGACTCAGGACTGGAAAACTTGTGAAGAGCTTTTTGCCTGTGCTTCGGACTTTTATGCGTTGCTTTCGGATACGGCAGAAAATTTGCAGTCACTAGAGACATCGCTGCTTCTGACCGTCGCTGCGTTGCTCATGATATGCAACGAGTCCGATACAGAGAAGCTGAAACTGGCAACGGTCTACATGGAGAAGTGTCGCAAGGTAATGTATTTCTAAGTCGAGCATTTTAGCTAGTTGCTGACATTGCCTTCGCAGGTGCATGCTTCTCTCTTGCTGAAGTCGCCAACTTTTGCAAGCACCGACTTCTACATGAACCTTTTGGCATTTGATCTCAAAGGCAAGATGAAGGAGTACAAGGAGCAGCTAGAGATTATGTACCGTTGTGCAAGCTTGCCTGGATTCAAGCCAGACTACTTTTTCAAGATGGCGATGCATGCATGTAACGGAGACGGAAGCAACACTGAAGTTCCGATAGCAGCTTTCAAGTCCTGCCTGAACCTGCTGCTCAGTTCCGCAGCTCCAGACTACAAGCGAGCAGCAGTAATCATGAGGAAGCTCATAGTGCTTTCTGACCAGCGGAACAAGGATGGACCGGAGGTGCTGAAGCTGTACAGAGAAGCGAAGCACATGCTCTTGGGACTTCAGAATGGAGTCTATCCGTCCGAGGAAATCCAGTGGCTGGTCTCGACTGCTTGGAACAGAGCAGCGTTGCAAGTCAAGCTTTCCCGACTTCCAGGAGCAGAACAGTGGATGAACATTGCTCTGGAGCTGCTCAGCCATGCGCCTGCTATGGAACCTCAACGACAGGGAATGGTGGACAGCCTCAACGAGGTGATGAAGCAGAAGCAGGGCCATGTCGACTTGATGGAGGAGTGACTCGAGGCCGTTACTTCAAGTAGGGTTTATGCAGCTTGCAATGGGAGCAGAGAAGCGCGGGGCGCTCATTGTCCTGGAGGGTCTGGACAGGAGCGGGAAGAGCTCTCAGTGCCACAGGCTGGTTGAGTTTTTGAAGGGCACTGGGCTGAAGGTGGAGGCTTGGCGGTTTCCAGACAGGACAACTGCCATCGGTAGCTCGATTTCGGCTTACTTGGGAGGGGGAGCTGAGCTTGACGATCGTGCTGTGCACCTTCTGTTTTCAGCAAACCGCTGGGAGAAGAGGTATGACTTGGAAGTATTTCTTGATTATTTCTTGAGAACAGCTCATCTTGTTTTCTCACAGGCTGCAGATGGAAAAGAAATTGATGGCTGGGACAACGCTGGTAGTAGATCGATATTCGTACTCAGGAGTGGCTTTCTCTGCTGCGAAGGGACTGGATCTTGAGTGGTGCAAGGTGAAAATCATTGCCTAAGCTTTAGCGTTTAACTAAGAGCACCTGGACAGGCTCCCGAGGTCGGACTTCCTGCTGCAGATCTGGTCTTGTACCTAGATATTTCGCCAGAGGTACTCTACATTCTATAAAGCAGCTCTTTCGTTACTTTTTGTTTAGGAAGCTGCTGTGCGCGGTGGATATGGAGATGAGCGCTATGAGCAGCTGGATTTTCAGAAAAAAGTTGCCTTACAGTACAAAGGTCTGCAGGGTAAAAGATGGAAGGTGCGTCCGACTTTTGTTTTGTGGCAAGTTTTGAAGATATTGAACAGATTGTGGACGCAAGGCAATCGTTTGATCAAGTTCACGAGCTGATGAGAGAAACGTGTGTGAAAACTGTCAGCAATTGCCTCAATGGGTGCCACCATCTTTCTCGGCTGTGGACAGGTAGGCTTACCATTTCACATTGCTTCATCACAAACTCTTTTTCTCTGCGCAGACGAAAGGGTAATCTTGTAGAGTGGGACCTGAGTTTTAGGGCTAAACAAAAGGAAGTTTTATGTAGCGCTAATTAAGAATGATAGAACAATCTATTGTTGGAATTTAGGGTTAGACTTGAGTACAATAATATCTTTTTATATTTTTACTATTGCCATTTTACTATTCTATTATTACGTTTTCTCTATGATCTAATATTTAAGTTAAAAATAAGTTAAACTAAATCCTTTCACTCTTGTCTTTCTATATTTTATATTACCCAACCACTCTACTCTATCACAAT